TCTTTGTTCTCCATAGGATGTGTTTAAGATTATATTCCTATCAGTTTAATAAAAACAGTTATAATAATGAGTTAATAGACATACAAAAAAAGGTAACCACAAGACAAAAAATTTCAAAGGAGTCACAAAAACTAAATAAAATCCATGATAATACAAGGAAAATTACCAGATCACAAAAGGAAGAAGAAGGAAACAAAATAGAAATACCAAATCAACTGCAAAAATATGTTCAAAATGGCAATAAATACACATCTATCATTAATGAATGTAAATGTAAATGGACTCCAGTCAAAACACATAGAGTCACCTTCTGGATAATGAAGGATGAACTTTCAATATGCTGCATACAAGAAACCCACATTAGGGAGAAGGACACATATAGATTGAGAGGGAAGGATGGCAAAGGATATTCATGCAAATGGAAATGCCAAGAAACCAGGGGTACCAGTACTGATTTCAGACAAAATAGACTTTAAAAAAAAGGCCATAAAGAAAGATACAGAAGGACACTTATAATGATTAAAGTAGTAATACCAGCTGAGGATATTATGCTTGTTAATATATAAACACCCAATACAGGGGCACCTATGTTCATAAAACCATTATTAACAGAGAAAATGGGGGATATTGATAGGAATACAATAATTGTCATAGGTTTTTACACCGCATTAACGTCACTAGACAATTCTTCCAAACAGAAAATAAATAAGGTAACAGAGAAATTAAATAATACAATAGAAAAACTAGATTTGGTCATATTTTCAAAGAATTACACCTCCCAAAAATAGGATATATATTCTTTTCAAGTGCACATGGAACATTTTCTAGGAGTGATCATGTACTTCATTTTCTAGGAGTGATCATGTACTTGGGCACAAAAGAAGCCTCAATAATTTGAAGAAGATAGAAATTATCTCAAGCATCTTTAATCACCACAATGCCATGTAACTATAAAATCAAATACAGAGAAACAAAGGAGAAAAAAAGGGAAGCATGGAGATTAAACAAAATGCTATTAAAAAAACAGCCTGTCAATGATGAACTTAAAGTTGAAATTAAAAAATACCTTGAGACAAATGAAAACAAAAAGACAACCATAAAAAATTCATGGGACGCAGTAAAGGCAGGGCTAAGAGGGAAGTTTATAGAAGTACAGGACTTTACAGAAAAGAAAAAAAATCTCAAGTAAACAATCTAACATACCAGCTTAAATAATTAGAAAAAGAAGAGCAAAAAACCCAAAAGGAAGCAGAAGGAAGGAAATTATAAAGATTAGGGAACAAATAAACAAAATAGAATTTTAAAAAAATATAAAAATTGTACCAAAACCAGACTTTTTGAAAAAGTAAATAAAATCGACAAACCTCTGGCAAAACTCACAAAGAAGAAAAAAAGGGAGTGCACAAATCAGCAAAATAAGAAAGGAAAATGGAGAAGTGAAAACAAATAAAATAGAAATACAAAATATCATATGAGAAAATTATGAAAAACTATATGGAAACAAAATGGATAACCTAGAGGAGATGGACAAATTTCTGGAAACCTACAGTCCACCAAGACTGAACCAAGAAGAAACTGAATACTTGAACAAACCAATCACTAGAAATGAAATCAAATTAGCAATAAAAAACCTCCCTACAAATAAAAGTCCAGGACCAGATGGCTTCACGGGGGAATTCTACAAAACATAGAAAGAACTCATACCAGTCCTACTCAAACTCTTCCAGAAGATTGAAAATGAGGGACTACTAACAAACTCATTCTATGAAGCCACCATCACCCTGATACCAAAACCAGGCAAAGACACTACCAAAAAGAGAACTACAGACCAATAACACTGATGAACATAGATGCAAAAATCCTTACCAAAATATTAGCAGATAGAATCCAACAGCACATAAAAAAGATGATACATCATGATCAAGTTGGATTCATCCCAGAGACACAAGAGTCTTTCAACAAATGCAAATCAGTCAATGTAATGTATCACATTAACAAGAGAAAGGACAAAATCCACATGATCATCTCAATAATGCAGAAAAAGAATTTCATAAGATTCAACACCCATTTATGTTAAAAACTCTCACAAAGTGGGGATAGAGGGAACATATCTCAACATAATAAAAAGCTTTATATGACACACCTACAGCCGGCATAGTACTCAATGTTGAAAAACTCAAAAGCTTCCCACTAAAATTTGGGACAAGTCAAGGATGCCCACTATCACCACTCCTATTCAACATAGTCTTGGAAGTCCTCGCTAAAGCAATCAGGCAAAAGAGAGAAATAAAAGGTTCCAAATAGGAAAACAACAGGTAAAAGTGTCACTATATTCTGATGACATGTTACTATATATAGAAAACCATAAAAGGTCCACACAAAAACTATGATATCTGATTGAAGAATTTATCAAGGTGGCAGGTTACAAGATTAATGTCTAAAAGTCAGTTGCATTTCTTTACAATAATGATGAATCAACCGAAAAAGAAAGTAAAGAAACAATCCCCTTTAAAATAGCACTCAAAGTAATAAAATACCTAGCAATAAATCTAACCAAGGAGGTGAAAGAATTATACAGAGAGAAATTAAACCATTGATGAAGGCAATTAAAGAAGACTTTAAAAAATTGAAAGATGTCCCATGCTCCTGGATTGGAAGAATCAATATTGTTAAAATGGTCACACTGCCCAAGGCAATCTACAGATTTCATGCAATCCCTATCAAACTATCCGGGACATATTTCACAGAACTAGAACAAATCATAATAAAATTTATATGGTACCATCAAAGACCTAGAATTGCCAATGCATTACTGCAGTAAAAGAAACAGGCTGGATTAATAACTCTCTCAGACTTCAGATGATACTATAGAGCTACAGTCATCAAGACACAGCATGATATTGGTACAAAAACAGACATATAGACTAATGGAACAGAATATAGAGCCCAGAAATGAACCCACAAAATTTTGGCCAACTGTTCATCAACAAAGAGGCAAGAGTATACAATGGAATAAAGACAGTCTCCTCAGTAAATTGTGTTTGGAAAACTAGACAGCAGCATGTAAATCAATGGAGCTAGAACACTCCCTTACACCATATCCAAAAATAAACTCAAAAGGAATCAAAGACTTAAACATAAGACAATATACAATAAACTTTCTAGACAAAAACATAGGCCAAACATTATCTGACATACATCTCAAAAATATTCTCCTAGGACACACACAATAGAAATAAAAGCAAGAATAAACAAATGGGACCTAATGAAATTTACAAGCTTCTGCATAGCAAAGAAAATCATAAGTAAAACAAAAAGACAACTTACGGAATGGGAAAATAAATTTTGCAAGTGAAACTGACAAAAGTTTGATCTCCAGAATATATAAGCAGCTCGTATGACTTAATAAGAAAAATCAAACAACTGAACCCAAAAATGGGCAAAAGAACTAAACAAGCAATTCTTCAAGGAAGAAATACTAATGATCAATAGGCATATGAAAAACTGCTCAATATCACTACTTATCAGAGAACTACAAATCAAAACTACCATGAGATATCACCTCACACCAGCCAGAATGGCCATCATTCAAAAGTCTACAAATGACAAATGCTGGAGAGGCTGTGGGAAAAAGGGAAACCTTACACTGCTGGTGTGAGTGCAGTTTGGTGCAGCCACTGTGGAAAATACTATGGAGATTCCTCAATAGACTAGGAGTAGACTTATCATATTACCCAGTAATTCTACTTCTGGGCATATATACAGAAGGATACCTACTTCAAAAACACACCTGCACCCTAATGTTCATAGCAGCACTATTTACAATAGCCAAGACATGGAAACAGCCTAAATGTCCATCGATAGATGACTTGATAGAGAAAATTTGGTACATTTATGCAGTGGAATACTATTCAGCCATTAAAAATTGACAATATAATGCCATTAGTAGTAACACGGATTTCCCTGGAGAATTTCATTCTTTGTGAATTAAGCCAGAAAGAGAAAGTAAAATACCATATGAGATCACTCTTATGTGGAATCTAAAAGAAAATAATAGAAAAGAAAGAAAGAAAGCATAAATACAAAAGAGAAACAGACTCATAGACATAGAATACAAACTTGCTGTTTCCAAGTGGGAAAGGATGGGGAAGGGACAGTCTTGGACTTCAAAATTTATAGATTCTGACAGGCATATATAGAATAGGTAAACTATATTATACTCTACAGCACAGGAAAATATATACATGATCTTGTGTTAGCTCACATCAAAAAATAATGTGACAACGAATATATGTATGTTCATGTATAAATGAAAAATTGTGCTCTACCCTGGAATTTGGCACAATGTTTAAATTAACTCTAACTCAATAAATTTTTTAATTAAAACATAATATAAAAAATTAAAAATGTGAAACCAACACTTACATCCTACATGATAAAATAAGTTGGCTAAATTGTAGGGCATACGTATGATGCATATGCACTAACTATGTACTTTCAATTCATTTTAAAGTCATAGAAAAATGCTGATATAAAATCTAGTTGGTGAAAATGTAATTACAATTATATAAATTATGATCCTATTTTTAACATAAAAGAAATTGCTTGTGTTTATGTGTGTGCACACACTAGAAACACACGTAAAGAAATTAGCATCTACTATCTTGCATGTGTGTGTTTATACACACACATCACACATATAATCTTTGGCATAAATATCAGCAGAACAATGTGCCTGGCACAAATTTGGCAACAAAAATCCATTTCTTCCTGAAAGTGTTGCTATCGAAATTAAATAAAATTAGTTTTAGGAGAAAACTTGTACAGTAATTAGCACACAGTTGGTGTTATAAACAGTACCTATTCTCTTTTAAAATATATATATATATATATATATGTAGACAGAAATATATAATAACCAAGCTTATGATTATAAGTAATATTATGCAGCTATGTATGAAATTTCTACATTACTCTAAATTAATGAAAGTAGAACCTACCTGGGGAAGGTTTGTGTCCAAATATGCCATTGAAAAATGCAGGCATACGAATACTGCCACCAATGTCAGAGCCCACACCGATCACAGAGCAGGCAGCTGCCAGGGTACAGCCCTCACCACCTACAGGAAATGCAAAATATTCCTTTCAGATAAATAAACTTTACTATTTTCATGGAATAACTTTTACCATAATTTCATTTTTAAACTTTTGGATCTTTACATGGAAGTGAGCTTCTTCTTCTCAGGCAATACTAAGTTTACTAACGTTTGTATTATAGGTGTCCCAGAAGGGGAAAAGAGTGAGAAAGTTGAAGAGAACTCATTTGAAGACATAATAGCTGAAAATTTACCTAATCTGGGAAAGGAAACAGACATCCAGTTCCAGGAAAAAAAAAGATCCAAACAGGATCTATCTAGAGACTATCACCCTACCAAGAAACACTAATAAAAATAGTAACAGTTAGAGATAAAGAGAAAAATTTTAAAGCAGCAAGATAAAAGTGACTATTTAAGTCTAAGGGAGCTTCCATAAGATGGTCAGCTGACTTTTCAGCAGAAATTCTGCAGGCCAAAAGGAAGGGGCACAATATATTTAAGTGATGAAAAGGAAAAACCAGTAATACTCTTCACAGCAAGGTTTTTGGTCAGATTTGATGGTGAAATCAAAGTTTTACAGAGAAACAAAATGTAAAAGTGTTAAACACCATGAAATCAACTTTGCAAGATATGTTAGATTTCATTAAGTGGAAAAGAGAGGCCATGACTAGAAATATGAAAATTATGAAAGAAAAATCATACTAGTAAAGGCAAATATAAATTTAAGTTAGTAGATCAAACATGTATAAAGCTAGTAGATAGGATAAAGTAAAAGTAGTAAAATCATCTATATCTGCAGTAAGACAGCATGGTATTGGTACAAAAAAAAGACATATATACCAATGGAACAGAATAGAGTTCCCTTGAAATGAACCCAAAAAGTTTTGGTCAACTAATCTTTGTCAAAGGAGGCAAGAATATATAATAGAATAAAGACACTCTCTTCAGCAAATGGTGTTGGGAAAACTGGACAGAAGCATGTAAAGTAATGAAGCTAGAACACTCCCTTACACCATACACAAAATCAACTTAAAATGGATCAAAAACTTAAACGTAAGACAAGATACAGTAAACCTCCTTGAAGAAAATATAGGCAGAACATTATCTCACATACATCTCAAAAATATTCACCTAGAACACTCTACTCAAGGAATAGAAATAAAAGCAAGAATAAACAAATGGGACCTAATGAAACTTACAAGCTTCTGCACAGAAAATGAAACCATAAGTAAAACAAAAAGATGACCTACGGAATGGGAAAAAAATTTTCGCAAATGAAACTGACAAAAGCTTGATCTCCAGAATATAAAAGCAGCTCATACGACTTAACAAGAAACAACCAAGCAACCCAATCCAAAAATCGGCAAAATACCTAAACAAGCAATTCTCCAAGGAAGACATACAAATGATCAATATACACATGAAAAAAATGCTGCATATCACTAATTATCAGAGAAATGCAAATCAAAGTAACAATGAGGTATCATCTCAAACCAGTCAGAATGGCTATCATTCAAAAATCCACAAATGACAAGTGCTGGAGAGGCTGTGGAGAAAGGATATCCCTGCTACACTGCTGGTGGGAATGCAGTTTGGTACAGCCAATGTGGAAAACAGTATGGAGATTCCTCAAAACGAGCTTATCATATGACCCAGGAATCCCACTCCTGGGCTTATATCCAGAAGGAACCCAATTTCAGGAAGTCACATGCACCCCAATGTTCATAGCAGCACTATTTACAATAGCCAAGAAATGGAAACATCCTAAATGTCCATCAATGGATGAGTGGATAAATAGAAATTGTATATTTATACAATGGAATACTATTCAGCCATAAAAACTGACAACATAATGCCATTTGCAGCAACATGGATGCTCATGGAGAATGTCATTCTAAGTGAAGTAATCCAGAAAGAGAAAGAAAAATACCATATGAGATCATTCATATGTGGAATCTAAAAGCAAACAAACAAACAAAGTATAAATACAAAACAGAAATAGACTTACAGACATAGAATATAAACTTGGGGTTGCCAAGGGGGTTTGGGAAGAGATACACTGGGATTTAAAAATTGTAGAATAGATAAACAAGATTATACTGTATAGCACAAGGAAATATATACAAGATCTTATGGTAGCTCACAGAGAAAAAAATTGTGACAATGAATATATACATGTTTATGTATAACTGAAAAGTTGTGCTCTACACTGGAATTTGACACAATATTGTAAAATGATTTTAAATCAATAAAAAATTTATAAGACACAAAAACAAAGAAACAAAGCATAAACACATAACAGAAACAGACTCATAGACATAGAATACAAACTTGTGGTTGCCAAGGGGGTGGAGGATGGGAAGGGATAGATGGGATTTCAAAATTGTAGAGTATATAAAAAAGATTATACTGTATAGCAAATGGAAATATACACAAGATCTTATGGTAGCTCACAGAGACAAAAATGTTACAATGAATATATATATATTCATGTATAACTGAAAAATTGTCCTCTACACTGGCATTTGACACATTGTAAAATGACTATAAATCAATTTTTAAAAAGAAGTTTAGTGATGTACAAAACAAAAAATTGTAAACTATAATGTCAGAAAGGTTAAATGTGGCAAATGGGGCAGCAAAAATGCAGGATTGTTAAAATGCATTTGAATTTAAGAGATCAGTCACTTAAAAGAATCATATACATATACATGTAAACAGATTGTAACATATAAACACAATGACAACCAAAATTCAAAAATCAATAATAGATACATACACAAAAAGATAAAGGAATCCTAGCATAACACTAAAAAAAAGCAAAGTTTTTAAAAGAAGAAGAAAGGAACTAAAATGACCTACAAAAACAATTAAGAAAATGGCAAAGAGTATATACTTGTCAATAACATATACTGAAAATGAGGAGGTGGAAAAAGATATTCCACGTAAATGGAAACATAGAAGATCTGGGGTACAAATACTCATATCAGATAAGTTAGACATTAAACAAAGACCATAACAAGGGATAAGGAAAGATATTACATAATGATTAAGGGCTCAATCAAAGAAGATATAGTAATTGTGAGTATGTATGCCCTCAACATAGGAGCGTCTAAATACAAAAGTAATAACAACAGACATAAGAGGAGAAATTGACAATAACACAATAATAATAGAACAATTTAACACTCCACTTATAGCAAGGGTCAGATCTTCCTCACAGAACATCAATAAGAAAATACTGGCCTTAAATGTCACATTGGATCAGATGAGAAAGAAAGAAACATATACATTCCATCCAAAAGCAGCAGAATACACAGTCTTTTCAAGTGCACAGGGAACATTATCCAGGATAAATCACATATTGGTCCACAAAACAAGTCTCAATAAACTTAAGAAAACCTAAATCGTATAGGGCATCTTTTCTGACCATAATGTTAAGAGATTAGAAATCAACTACAGGAAAAAAAAACTGCAAAAAACACGAACATGTAGGAGCTAAATAATATGCCTACTAAACAACAAATGGATCACTGAAGAAGTCAAAGAAGAAATAAAAAAATACCTGGAGAAAAACGAAAAAAAGAAAACACAATTATCCAAAATATATGAAACACAGCAAAAACAGTTATCAGAGGGAAGTTTATAGTAATGCAAGCCTACCTCAAGAAACAAGAAATACTTCAAATAAAAAGTTGAACTTTACACTTAAAGAAATTAGGAAAAGAAGAAACAAAACCTAAAGTTAGTAGAAGGAAAGGTATAATCAAGATTAAAGCAGAAATAAATGAAATAGAGTCTAAAAAATAAAATAAAATAAGATGAATGAAATTAAGAATTGGTTATTCAAAAGGATGAACAAAACTGATAAACCTTTAGCCAGACTCATGAAGAAAAAACAGGGAGGGCCCAAATCAATAAAATTAGAAGTGAAAAAGAAGTTACAACCAACACAAGCAAAACACAAATGATGATAAAAGATTACCACAAACAATTTAAAAAAAGAAAAATTCCTAGAAATGTACAATCTCCCAAGACTGAACCAAGAAGAAATAAACAAATATATATGAATAGAATTACTAGTAATTAAATTGAATCAGTAATAAGAATACTTCCAACAAACAAAATTCAAGAACCATACAGATTCATAATTGAATTCTACCAAACATTTAGAGAAGAGTCAGCATAACTCTTTCTCAAATTATTCAAAAAAATTTCAGGGGAAGAATACTTAAAATTCATGCTATTAGGCCACCATCACCCTCATACCAAAACCAGGCAAAGATTATCACAAAGAAGGAAAATAGTAGGCTATTTGTTACAACATGGGTGGACCTTGAGGGCCTATGCTTAGCAAAATAAGGCAGAAAAAGATACATGCTGTATAATATTAGTCATATGTGAAATCTGAAAAGAATAAAAGCAGTGAACAAGCAGAAACAGAAGTATAGATACAGAGAACAAACATAAAGTGCTAGAGGAGTGGGGGTTAGGGGAAGGAGAGAAAGAGATTTAGGAGATTGAGAGGTACAAACTCCTAGTTGCAAAATAAATGATGCATGGGTATAAAATGTACAGTCTAGGGAATATAGGAAATAACTATGCAATATCTTTGTATGGTGACAGGTCATAAATAGACTTACGGTAGTGATCATTTTGAAATGTATAGAAATATAAAATCACTATTTTGTGTAACAGAAACTAACATAGTGTTATTCTTCAAAACTAAACAAACAAACTCATAGAAAAAGATCAGATTTATGGTTACTAAGGAGGGATTTTTGGGACTAGGTGTAGGAGAAATTGGATGAAGGCAATCAAAATATGTAAATTTCCAGTTAAAAGATAAATAAATAATGACACAATGTAAAACAGGATAAATATAATTAACACAGCTGGATATTTTATATAAAAGTTGTTTAGAGAGTAAATCCTAGGAGTTCTTATCACAAAAAATTTCTTTCTATTTCCTTAATTTTATATCTATATGAGATGATGGATGTTCCCTAAATTTATTCTGATAA